GGGGAGCGACCGCGGTGGCGGTCCATCGACCTGCCCCGGGAGGAGCCGTTCGCGCCGTCGCGCGTGCATTACTCCATCGCCCGGAGCACCGACTCGGGCCTGCGGGGCCTGACCCTGGCGGATCCGCTGTGCACCTGGGACACTGTCATCAACATGTGCCCCAGCCGGCTGCAGGTGGTCTTCCTGGCGGAGGGGCCCATGGTGCAGGACCTGTCCAGGGTGGCATTCATGCATATGGAGATCTCCTTCCCGGGCCCGGTGGCCGGCGATTACGAGCAGTACCGGGCCAAGGTGCGGCACTTTCTGACCGAGCATCGCGGCATTGTCCGGAGGGTGCGTCCTGCCCTGTCCGGTGCTTCTCCCCTCTCAGGGGGGAGGGGCCCTGGGTGTGGCGTGGCCTGGCGCGGGGGGCCGGCGCTTGCCGGAGGCGCCGGGCGCGGCGGCCGGCTCGCAAAGGCCCAGGGGGGGGGGCGCCGGCCCTCGACCGGTGGCGGCGCGGTGGCTGACGCGGCCTTTCCTTCCGGCCGGCGGGTGCGGCCGGCCAGGACTCGCTGGTTGGCGACATCGAGGGGCACGGCATCATCATGATGAGGGTGAAGCGCATGTGGGACGGCCGGTGGCGCGGCACCTCGGCCGGCTTGTACTCCGGCCTGACCGAGGTGCTGGTCACCTGTGCCCAGGGCCCGCTGGAGGGGTCGCCGAAGGTTGTCCTGCTCGGCGGCCGGGCCGGGCCCGTGCCCTGGGGCATCCCCCTGCGGGTGTTCCGCGGGGCACAGCAGCATGACGATGTGGTCATGCCGATGTGCACCGGCATGCAGCTCTCCCGCGACCCGGGGGCCATTGCCGCCCTGAGGGTGGAGCTTCTGGGCAGCTGGCTGCCAGTGGTCAGGTACGAGGCTGTGTCACGCGGGGGCGGGGGTGCGAGCGGGCCGACCATCCTGACCGCCGTGGCGTCTGTCCATCCATCTGTCTGTCTCGACGTGTGCGTCGGGCGGGGGGGAACCGCGCTTCCATCCGCCCCCCGCCCTTTTTTTCCCCGGCGTGTCCTGCCGCAGCGGCGAGCCACCGGGGTGCCATGTGCACGGCCGGCCGGGGGGCGGTGTCCCCTCGCAGGCCGGCCACCCGGCCAGGGACGCGAAGAGGCGTGTGGCGAATGGCTGCTTCCCGCCGAGCCTGGCCCTGAGGCCCGCCCTGTTTGACGCCGTCTTCCCGGATGCCGGCGCATCTCTGGTGGAGGCCCCCTGCAATCTGAGGTACCTCGAGGAGGCGGGGTCCTTCGCGACCGTGGAGTAGTTCCGACGGGGGGCGGGGATGGGCCGCGCACGTGGCGCGGCGTTTGCCCGCCGGGGCGGTGGCTGCCCCCCCTTTGAGTATGTCGAATGCAAGCCGGTCGTTCGGGAATGCGTCGTGTTGTCGCGTGCGCGCTGGCGAGTGCGGGCCTCCGTCAGGCGGGGCTTTTTTCCTTTCGCCAGGGCGAGGAGGATCTCTCTCCCGCGCAACTCCGAGGTTTTTCTTGCCGGTGCAATCAGGGCGGCGGGCGTCGGCGCCCGCCAGTCGGCGCAGGGGCCACTTCCCCCGGGGGTGCGGCCGCAGGCAGGGGAGGGCCGCAGGCCGGGGCCGCCGGCAGCGTGGGCGAAGCTGGCCCCTGGTCGTGCGCGGGGAGGGGACCTGGCGCCGGGCCGAGACGCGGTCCCTCCCGCCGGCGGCCCCGGCACGCTGGGGCTCCCCGCGCCCAGGACGGAGGCAGTCCACGCAGAGGATCCAGACCGCGGGCGGCGCTGGGTGCCCCCCCCCCCCCCTCCCGGTCCGCGGCATCCTGTTGAGGGAGGGCGCCAGGGGGCGCATGCCTGCCCACACGGGCATCTCGAGCCCCGGGTGCGGGGAGCCGCTCGGGCGCGCGGCGGGCGCCCTGGGCCGATGTGCCGGCTCGGCCGACGCGAGGAGCACTGCACCCGCCGGCGCGGTCGGCCGCGCGTCGACATGGCAAGGGTGGGTTCCCTGCCCTGGCATCCTTTTGACTTGCAGCCGGGATCGCCGATGTTGGAGGCGGCCGGGCAGCCGGCGCGGGTGGATTGCCACGGTTCGCGGCCGAGGCCGAGGAGTGTCTTGGAGCCATGGCGGGGGCCGTGGTGCTGCATGCGCCGGGCATGTGCGGCCAGGCGGGGCGTGCACCTGCGCCAGGCGCCCGGGTGGCGAGGCCGCGGCCCAGGCGCTTTCGCCGGCGCTCGATGGGAGGGAGCGGGGCAGCCCCCCCCCCCAGCTCGGGGGAAGTCGGCGCGCCGGTGGCTGCCCTCCGGGGTGATGCGCGTCGTGCGGCGCGACCCCGGCGGACGTGGCCGGGTCCCGACGGCCCGGCCATGCGGAGGTGAAAATGGCGGCCTCTGGCCGGGGCATGCGCATGGCCGAGCCGGCTCTCGTGCCTGGCAGGGCCGGGGGCGACGGGCGATGTGCGGGCCTGGCCCCGGTGGGGATGGTTGACGACGGTGCCCAGGGCGCGGCAGAGCGTGGTCCTTTGGCGGGGGGCCTTGTGTGGATCCCTCGGGCCCGGGCGCGGCGGCGGGGACGGCACACGTTTTTCATCCGCGACGGAGCCCTCAGTGTGGGCACCCAGCGAGGGGGACCATCGCCGGGCGTGGTGTCGGGCCGACCACCCTTGGGGCCTTCGGCGGACGACTCCCCGGAGGTGGGTGCCCTGCTCCCCGTGCCCCTCGATCAGCCGCGCGTCCGGCGGGCACCGGCGCAGGGGCACCATGCCTCTCGGCCCGAGGGGTCCCCGTGGTCGGCGTGCTCGGGCAAGGGGGGGGGGGGGAGGCACGTGCGCGTGTGCGGAGGGCCCGCAGGAGGGGCCAGCTTCGGCGCCGGGCCGCCCGGCCAAGCCCTGGCAGGCTGCCCGCCCCGGCACTGGCTCCCCCGGGGGAGGCCAGCTCCTGTCGGGGCGCGCGTGTGCGCGCCGCAGGGGCCCCGGGCACGGCTGCCGGGCCATCGGTCCGCGTGCCGGGGACACACGCGCCGGGAGCCCGCGGCCGGTCGCGCCCCGCCCGGCGGCCAGTGGCCGTTCCCCGGCCGGATGCGCCGAGTCGAGACCGAGTTCTGCATATGCAGAATCCCCGGGGCGAACATCGGCCTGTGTCTGGAGAGGACGAGGCACCGCCGGGCGGGCGCGCCCCGCCTGTGGGCTAAGTGCCCTCCGCCGGGTGGGCGCGCCCAGGATGCGCAGGGCCGGGCCGAGGGGCGGGATGACAGCCGGACGGAGGGGCGGGCGCGAGAGCGGAAGGGGGGCATGGGTCGGCGGGAGGTGTATCCACGCCCCCCCCCCCCCCCCGGGGGGGGGGAGAGGGACAGCACCGGCATCCTGGTGCCGTGCTCCAGGAAGGGGGGGCCCGAGAGGTTGCCTATCCTCCCGTCCCCCTGGAATCCAGGCTACCCTCGAGCAGGGCTGGCGGTTGCCGGCTCGCGGGCCGGGGCGCCCTCTTCGACCCACGCGGGTGCGTGCCGCCGGGCCGCGGTGTTGTCGGGCGCCGCCTTTGACAGCGCGGTGCCCGGGGGCGATGGGGCCTTCCATTCGGGGCATTTTCTTGTCGGGACCAATGTTGGCAGGCATGGGTGCTCTGGTGAATGGGCTGCATGTGCAATGGCGGCAGCCGCCGGCCGAGAGCGCCACCGGTCCGGCGGCCGTGTGCCGGGCAGTTGGCAATGCCGCGGCCTGGTCCGGCCGGCGGTGTGGACGGCGCGCATGGGCCCGCGAGAATCGGCGCATCCGCGAGGAGGGGGCTGTGCCCGGGCCGGGGCGCCTTGGGCCCGTGTGCCGGCCGGTGCGTGTGCAGTACGGCCCGCTGGCCGGCATGTCCGTGTAATGTCGAGAGTGCTGGCCGATGTGTCCATTTGTGTGGAGGGTGCCGGCCCCTGGTGCGCCCGGCGGCCGGCAGGTGGCTTTAAATGGCGGCATCCCTGCATGCCCTCCCCCCCCGGCCGAAGGGGGGACCACATCCCCGACCTTTGTTGCCTCGCAGGCTCTCTCTCTCTCCCTCTTTGCATTCCCCTCCGAAACGAGCGCACTCACATCCACGAAAGGACACACACACACATACACACGCACAGCGACCAGGCAGCCACCATGACCCCCGACGCCAGCAGGCAGGGCAGCAGGACGCCGGCGGCACCGCCGGCCCTGCTGCTGAGCCTGGGGCCGCTGCTGTTGCTGGCGGCCCTGCTCGGCGGGGGGGCGGCCCCCGCGCGGGGGCAGGCCCCCACGTCGGATGTCTTCCTGCACGCCACCTGGCATGCGGGGTTCAGGCCGGAGTCGTTCGGGCCGGCGGTCACCCTGCCCGGGGCGCCGTCCTACCTGGTGGACAACTACCTGCAGAATGGCAACATGTACGTGCAGAATACCTCGCTGAAGGAGGTGGAGGAGGTCCGCTTCGGCGGGCACTTCACGCGGTATTGGGGCTTCGCCCCGCGGACGACCATCCCGGCCGGGGTGACCCCCCGGTGGATGGGGCTGGCGCTGGCCGGGCACGACCGCCCGGTGGGGGTCCTGCACTCGGACCAGTGGGCCGTGCTCTTCACCGAGAGGGACCAGCGACACTTCCCGGTGAAGCCGGTGAGCCTGCTGGCCGGCCGGGCGGTGGCCGCCAACCGGGTGGACCTGCTGGGGCTGGTGGAGCCGCCGGCCGGGCCGCGGGAGGTCCACCTGTGGGAGCTGACCGAGGCCAGCCTGCTGCGGGTGCCCTTCGGCGTGCCGGTGGCCGGGGGCGAGTCGGCCCACGCGTGCCCCGGGCCCGGCCGGGCATTCTACCTGTCGGTGGGGCAGACCCTGCAGCATGTGAGCCATGCGGGGGTGGCCGGCGGCCCGGCCAGCGTCCAGGCCATCCCCCTGCCGGCGGGTATGGGGGCCATCCGGCAGCTGGCCGTCACGCGGCTGGTGGCCGATGCCGGCCACTGCCCCGGGGCCGGGGATGTGGTGCTCCTGCTGGACAGCGACCAGGTGCATGTGATCCCGTGTGCGGGGGCCGCGGCGCCGGCCGCCGGGCTGCCCTTCACGGCGTCGCTGCCGGCCGCGGCGTCGGCCGCCACCGGGCGCCTGGTCGTCCCGCCGGAGGCCGCGGCCCTGGACCAGGCGTATGGCTTCCTGTACTTCCTGCAGCCGGGCCCGGGCCCGGCCGGGGCGCCGATGCAGCTGTGGCGGGCCGGGGTCCAGGCCGGCGGGCTTGCCTGGCGGCGGCTGGTCCTGCCCCCCGGGCACGCGGCGCCCGGGCACCTGCAGCTGGTTCGCCTGCGGCTGAACCGGGCCCAGGACCAGGTCGGCGAGTGGGCCCTCATGGCCGACAAGGACCTGCTGCTGGAGTCCGAGCGCTTTGGCTGCGACACCGATGGCAGCATCGTGTGTGACGGCCCGGCCGGGGTGACCGGCTCCGCGCGGGGGTGGGCCTGCGCCCCGGGCCGGGTGCTGTCGCCGTTCGTGGCCCCGGGGCAACTGTGCGCCGACTGCGCCGAAGAGCACTACCTCGACCGGCCGGAAGGTGCGCATGGCCCGGCGCGCGGGGCGGGGATGAGGGGGGGCGGGGCGGGGATGAGGGGGGGCGGGGCGGCCGGAGGGGGGCGGGACCGCTCTGCCGTTCATCGGTGCTGGTGTTCTGGCCGGAGGGGCGGGACCGCTCTGCCGTTCAGCGGTGCTGGTGTTCTGGCCGCAGGGGGGCGGGGCCGCTCTGCCGTTCAGCGGTGCTGGTGTTCTGGCCGCAGGGAGGGACCGCTTTGCCGTTCATCGGTGCTGACGCTCTGGCCGGGGGGCACACCTTGGCCGACAGCCGAGCCGCCCTTCTCCGCGCCCGGCCACACGTGCCGGCCCTGCGCCGACAGCATGTGCCAAGTGTGCGATGCCCATGATTGCCTGGTGTGCAAGGGGGCGCTGCTGCTGCAGCCGACCGGCCCGGGCGGCGGCATGGCCTGCGTGGGGGCCTGCTCCGGGGGCTTCACCCGGCAGGGGGGTGTCTGCCTGCCGGCGGCCACGCGCCTGGACGTGGCCCACATGGCGGCCGCCGGGGGGGAGGTCCTGCCGGGGCCGGTGTCGGCGGCCGAGGTGACCGGCATCGGGGCCACCCGGCTCGGGGTGGACCCGGCCACCGGGCTGCCGGTCATCCCGCCGGTGGGCACCGAGCCGCGGAATGTCCTGCTCTTTGCCGGGGCCGGGGCCGACCCGGTGGTCATGCGGCTGGAGGACATCGGCCGGCCGGGGAAGCCGGCCCCGGTGCCGGTGCGGCTCTTCACCGCGACCCCCGGGCCGCAGGTGCTGGCCATGACGGAGCTCGGGCCGATGCTGGACTCGGCCGGCCAGCTGGTCATGGGGATCGTGGTCATGCAGGAGTCCGGCTGGGTGATGGTCACCTGGCTGTCGTGCCAGCCGCCGGCCCCGGGGGAGGGGTGCACCGTGGCCGGGCCCGGGACGCCGGGCTTCTTCACGTCGCACATGCTGCCGCTGGCCCAGCGCCTGGGCGAGCGCCACTTCATGCTGATGGACGACTACCTGATGACGTCGATTATTCAGGCGGACCCGGACGCCCGGACGCTGGACTACAATTGGCACCAGGCGTCGGATGTGCTGCCGGTGCCCGGCGAGTGGGTGGTGCAGGTGCTGGGCAAGAACCATGTCGGGGTCGGGCCCTTGGACTTGGTGGCCCGGGATGACCCGCGGTGGTGGTGGACCGCCGGCGGGGAGGCCCTGCTGCCGGCGGCCAGCTGGCCGGACGACCAGTACCGGGCGGTTCTCCTCCCCCGGGGCCCGGAGGGGGCCCCCGGCCCGGGGCCGGAGCTGGTCCTGGTGGAGGACACCGCGGCCCATGCGTGGGATGTCGTCCGGATGCCGGGGAGCCTGGCGCCGGTGGCCGGCACCCGGACGCACGGCGGGCGGACCGTGCGACAGAGGCTCGGCATGCTGCCGGACCGGCCGCGGCTGGGGGCCGAGGATGCGCCGGACGCGCGGGTCTTCGGGGTCCGGCTGGCCGGCGGGTCGGCCGAGTACCCGAGCGCCCTGGTGCTGCTGTCGCGCAAGTATGTGGCCGTGTCGGTGCTGTGGTGCCGGCCTGGCGGCCGGGCCGCGGCGTGCGTCCTGCTGCCGGCGGTCCGGGCCGACCTGCCGGTGGAGCTCCGACTCCCGAGCACCGGGCCCCTGTGGGCGGAGCCGGTGGTCCACACGCCGGCCGGCCCGTCGGCCCATGCCCCGGGGCTGCTGGTCAGTGTGCTGACCTACGCCAAGACCATGGGGCCGGTGTATGTGCGGCTGCGGGCCACCTGCCCGCCGGGCACCGTCGGCCTGGGGTGCCGGGCGTGCGACGCCGGGTGCGCCGAGTGCTGGGCCCCGGCCGACCCGGCGGCCTGCACGGCCTGCCCGCCGGGGCACTTCCTGGCGGCCGAGGGGGGCACCTGCGCGGGCACCTGCGCGGCCGGCACCATGCCCGGGTCCGGGCCCGACGCCGGGGCATGTGTGCCCTGCCCGCCGGGGACCGCCGGCCCGGGCTGCCAGCCATGCCACCCGACGTGCATGCTGTGCTCGGCCCCGGGGGATCCGGCGGCCTGCACCGGCTGCCCGCCCGGCCGGCTGATGACCCCCGGGGGCGCTTGCATGGAGCTGTGCACCGGCGGCACCATGCCCGGGTTCGGAGCCAGCGAGGGCAGCTGCGTGCCCTGCCCGGCCAGCTGCCTCGCCTAGGCCGGCGACCGGATCGCCCCCGGCGTGCTGCCGGGGCGGAGAGGGCATGTGTGCATAGGCCGCCGCCTGAGACGAGGCCGCGCTGGAGCGAGGGAGAGAGAGAGAGAGAGAGAGCGAGAACCGTGGGTGCCTTTTGGCTGGCTGTGACCGGGGCGCCGCGGGCCGCCGGAAAGGATGCCGATCCAGCGGGCCCGTGCCCCACGCCAGGGGGATATGTGGCCACAGGCGGTAGCATGCTGTGGCCGAGCTCGGCGTGTGGTGGCGGCGTGCGGGGGGCATTTCCCGCGCACACGGTGCGCAGCGGGCACCCCCAGCCAGCCGACGGCCCCCTGCCCGAGAGCGAGAGTGCGCCGCCCGCCGCGCCGGGCCCTGTGGAGTGGCAATAAAACAGGGCGCAAAAAAAGCGGCAGAGAGGAAGTGCATGCCGGCAAGGCGCCGCCCGCGGGCCCGGATCCGGCGCTGCAAGAAAAAGGCACCACGGGCACGCTTCCCGGCTGGGAGGCTGGGAGGGGAGGAGGGGTCACAACCGGGCTGGATGGGTGGTGCGGAGGGGGATCCGAGGCGCGGGGTGCGCACACGGGCGGGGCGCGGCCCTCTCGACGCGCTGGCACGCGTCGGCAGCGTGGCCCAATGTGTCGGGCCGGGGGGGCCCGATCGGGAGTCAGGCGCCGCCAGCGGCGGGTCACATGCGGCCATTGTGGGGCTGGCTTGGGCGGTGCTTGTGGGTGGCTCGCATGCCCGGCGCCTGCGGGGAGCGATACGCCCGGGGGGGGGGGCCGGCCAGGGGCCGGAGCTTGGCCGGTGATTTTTGAGTGGTTTTTGGGCGCCAGGTGTGCGCCGGCCATGGGGCCCGGGGGAAAGGGGAATGTCAACTGCGGTGCTCTTCGCACGGGTTTCCACACAGGGAGGGAGCTCTGTGACAGAGGGGCGAGCACAAGGTGGAACAACCAAAGGAGCAAGCCATCGTGTTTATTTCCTCGGCACAGGTGGCGCATGCACGCATGAGCGAGGGGAGAGGAGCAACCGGGAGGGGACCCGGGCCACGGCCAGGGCGATCTCCCAATGACCTGCCATCCGGAGGGGCACGTTTGTCACGCGCCCGTGGCCGAAGAGAGGGAGGCGGCAGCCGGCTGGAGGGTGACATTGGTCATGATGTGGGGGAAGCACAGCCATCTACCGTCTGGCCGAGGAGCAGGTTTACCCGGACCGCCCAGCGGCCATCCAGGGCCACCCTGCAATGATCCAGGTCCAGGGGGGCATCGGCCGTCGGGCAGAGGCGGCCCCCTGGGGAGGGGAGGCGCAGGGCAAAGGCAAAGGCGGCCCGCTTGGACCGGCCACCGCCGAAGGGGTACTCATGGCAGACGAGGAAATCCTCATGGAGCGAGAGAGCCCGCCGGCCGTGGATCATCAGGCGCTGGGGGTTGATCAGGTTCTCAAAGTCCGGTCCCTGAAGGCAGGGGGGTGAGGAAGGAGGGGCGATCAGGAGAGGGAGCAGAGAGCGGAGAGGGGGCAGAGAGTGGAGAGGTCAGAGAGGTCAGAGGTCAGAGAGGTCAGAGAGGTCAGAGAGGTCAGAGAGGTCAGAGAGGTCAGAGAGCAAAGAGAGCAGAGAGCAAAGATAGCAAAGAGAGCAGAGAGCAGAGAGAGGGAGAGAGAGAGAGAGAGAGAGACAAGGTGGGGCTTCGGTCAGGGACCAGAAACACGGTGTGCTAGCGCGCAGAGGCGCCAGGGGAAAGAGCGGCCGGGCAGCGCGCCACGCACATGATAGGCCTCCGGCTTGCAGGCCTCCCGGAAGACCGTGGCAGTTCCCTTGCGGGGATTGCAGAACACGGTTAGCGGGCCGCCGGCAGGCAGGTTCCGGAAGGGCGAGGCAAGTGACGAGGGAGGGACCGACTCCGGGACATCGAAGCGAAAGACGTCGCCATTCATGAAGGACCGGGCTGCCACATCATCCTCGAAGAGGGGCAGGGGGATCTGAATGAAAAAAATGCGGCGGCGGGGAGTTTCGGGGATCGCGCGCAGAGCAGGGACACCGGCGTGAGTGGAGTGGAAGCAGCAGAGCGCCCCCCTGGCGGCCGGATTCAAAGCCTGCGCGCGGGGAGAAGCCCAGAGGGCGGCACACGGCCAGGCGCCCAAATGGGCCACGGGAAGGAAGAACAGGGACAAAGGGGGGTCACGTACATGGGCCAGGTCCAGGGGCTGGGCTGTCGACTGGGCGAGGTTGACCAGGTACCCGGAACGCGTGGCCGAGTCCACCAGCAGGGCCTCGCCAGGGGTGGTGGTCATTTGAAAGGTGGCGCCCGGGCGGATGCCCCGCTTGAGGATGGTCCCCGTGAGCAGGGCGAGCGGAGCATCCGGCCCCCCGGCGCCCAGCGGGCGGGACCAGTCCACCAGCAAGAGGCAGCCATTGACGATGACGACCAGGAGCCGGTGGCCATGGGCCGCGAGCATGGCACACGACCGGGCCCCGGCCAGCTGGCATGCCCTGGTGCAGGCGGGCGTGATGCCTGCCGGGCGGGGGTCTCCCTGCCACCGGTGCCGAGCGAAGGCGCGGATCTTGGTGGTGGTGCTCGGGTGAATGCCAAGACACTGCATGCAGTGGCTCACCGACGACACCACCGCCATGGTGGAGCCATGCGGGCCTTGGCCCAGGCGGTGGAATGCGAAGTCCACCTGCATGGTGCCCATGTCAATGCGCACCGTGCCGCGGTGAACGGAAAGGCAACCGACCAGGTCCCTGTCGGTGGTCAGCTGGCGACGATCTTTTCGTTAGCGAACAGTGCGCCCGCCTCCCGGAGCAAGGGGTGAAGGGCAAAGCAGATGAAGGCAGCACAGCGAGCGGGCGCGCTTGATGTTCCCTGACCAGGGCCACGAGCCAGTCGCCCGGGGAAGCCACTCGCCCGGGGGGGTAGGCATGGTCATCTGCAGGGGGCCGTGACACACAGGCACACAGGTGGGCCCGGCGGGGATGCGCACACGCCTGGAGCGCACGGCGGAATGGCGCCGGTGCATGCGCCTCGCCCGACATGAACGACGGCGGAGGGGGAGGCCCAGGCGGAGCAGCCGACAGCAGCGCGATGGCAGAGAAGAGAAAGAACAGAGGGCAGGCCGGGGGACGGGGTGCGTATGAGCCGGCCTCGCGGCGCCCTCGGGCGGCGGCGTTTGTAGGCCCCCCGGCGGGACTGCCGGGCGGGCATCCAGCCATGAGCCCCCGGCCTGTGGGCCAGGCACATCCGGAGCTCCCGACATGCTGGGGGCTGGCTGGGGCAGCCACCGCGCGCCAGGGCAGGGCACACACTTGCGGGAGATCGCCCTCCGGAGGGCGGGGGGGAGGCTGTCGACCGGTCTGACGGCCCGAGTGGCCCCCCCCTCAAGCGGCCCGAGTGGCTGGTGGCAGGCGCACTTTGCGGGCCGGGCCGGGCCAACCTGAAGGGGAGGCGCTACGTCCGACCTGTGCAGCCCGTGGCCGAGGCGCGGCCGCGGGAGACCCCCCTTGTTGGGGATCTTCAGCGTGAGCGTCCATCGGCCGGGCATGGGCGCGTGCGTGGGTCGGAAGGCAGGGGCCCGGGTGTTCCCGACCGCCTCCCGGCCGGATGGGGTCTCGGGCGTGAGGACCGATCCAAAGCACGGGCGCCAGCCTCACCCCCGGGGAGAGGTCTCGCGCGTACACCTGGCAGCCCCTTCTTGGAGGCTCAGCGGGGCCGGCGGTGAGGGCTGCCTGAGCGGGGCAAGTTCGCTCGACGCCCCTACCTTTCGTCCCCGGGAGACTCGGAGAGTGTGCGCGGCAGTGTCCGGGCCGGACCGAGGGCGGCTCGCATGCCGATACAACTGTCGCCCCTTGCGCTGCGCGATCTCCCCTGATGGCAAGGTCGCCGGAAGAGAAAAAAAAAAACAAACAAGCCGGCACCGACGTGGCAGGAGCGCGATAGGCGGCCCGGCGAGCCGCGTGCGTTGGCAGTGCGCTGGTCACACGCGCGATCACAGGGCGCGACATGGCGGTGTTCTTCCCTCCACGCCCCGCGCGTGCCAACACCGGAGTCACGCGGCCTCGCGCCAACTGGCCAACTCGTGCCCGGGCTTCGGGATAATAGCCCGCCGATCGGGGGCCTGTTTATGACGCCGCCGCCCGGGCCCGACATGCCGCCGGATGGGGCGTGGCGCGCGAGCCCGTGGGCGGCCCGGCCTCCGCTCCTGCCCCCCGTGGGGGGGGGGGGTTCTAACGCGCCGACGCCCCACCATGCATGCTCGTACGACCGGCGCTGGCGGGGGAAGGTGCCCCCTCGGGCGGGCGGCCACACACACACGAGGCCGGCGCATGGTTGCCTGGCTGCGGGGTCCGGAAGGGGGAGGAGCGGGGGCCGAGACTCGGGGTCCGTCTGTCGGGATGGAGTCGCGAAAGGGTCATCCTCGTGGTCGGTGCCGGGCCGGCGCCACGACACGGCCACATATCCGGGCGGGAGGGGCCTCTCCCCTTACAGATGGAAGGGGCTGTGTGATGCAATGTGCGCGGGCCCCCTTGGGAGTCGGGGCAGGCCCCCTTTTTGTGGGGCGGAGGCCGCTCCTCGGGAGGGCAGAGGGGGGGCCATGATTGTGGACTCCGGCCCGGCTGGATTCCGCTTCCCGGGCCTGACTCGATGATGGCATGCACTTGCGATGCTATGTGGCCCGAGAGATATGAAGGGTCATAGGACCGGGCGTGACCTGGCCGGGCTTTGTTGCTTGCGAAGTCCACGGGGAGATCGGGCGGCGGGTGGCGCGCCGTGTGGGCCAAGGGCATCCGCTCGCCGCCAGGGAGGGGCCGGGGCGGGGGGACACCGGCGGCGCACCCGGCCCGCTCGGGGCGCACGCCGCAGGGAAGTGGCATGTGCCCCCGGGTGGGCGCGTGCGCGTGGCGCCCCTCGGTGCTTTTCCCCGCCAGCCCGTGTGGCGCCCGGCCAGGGCTATTTAAGGGCGCGCGGCCGGGGATGTTGTCCGGACAGCCGCCCCACCTTGGGAAGCAACAAAAACACCCGCGTCTTCCCCCATAATCAAGCAGTACACTACTCTCTCTCTCTCTCTCTCGCCCGCGCCCCCGCACACCCCGCCTCCGACGCCGCCGCCGCCGCCGCGCCCGCTGCCTGCCACACGCGCCCTGCTGTGCAGCACCGACCCCGAGCATATACCACCGCCTGGACATGGCGGTCGGCAGTGCCCTCGGCCTGGTGGCCGGCCTGCTGGCATGGATGCTGACCATGCCGGTGGAGCTGGCCCGCGGCCAGATGCCCCCGCCCTCGGGGCTGCCGAACATCTACCTCCACCGGTCCATGGGGTCCCTCATGCGGGGCACGGGCCGGGTGGATGTGGTCACCGCGCCGGGGCAGGCCTCGGTGACGTTCAAGCTGAATGGCCCGACAACGATGGAGATCTACGACCAGCGGGACGCGCTGGACATCCTGCCGGACTACCGGGTCGGGTCCTTCTTCGGGCCGGTGCCGCGAGAGACGCTGGAGTGCCCGCGAAGTGGCGTCGACCCGGCCAGCACCAGCATCATGGCTTTGCCGGTGACCGGGAGCCCGACCCCGGCCCTGGTGCAGCATACCGACCAGTGGGTGGCGCTGTTTGAGTCGCCGATGGAACACCCGCTGCCGGGGCCGGCCACGCAACTGCTGCGCGGCCTGGCCGCGGCCGTGGACGATGTGGACCTGGTCGGGGTGACGGACATCCCGGGCCAGTCGCGGCAGGGGGAGCTGTTCCTCGGCCGGCTGACGTCGGCCGGGCTGGCCGTGCGGCCGGTCGGCATGACGGTGGCCCTGCCGGTGCTCACGGCCACCGGGACCCGGCGGCACTTCTACGTGGCCGAGTCGGACGCCCTGCACAGCATCGCCCTGCAGGAGGACGGCACGGCCGTGGTGGATACCATGCTGCTGTCGGACACCGTCATCAGCATGGTGACCACGCGGCTGGTGTCGACGGTGGCCCAGTGCCCGGACCATGCGGACGTGGTGCTGGCCACGGCCGACGGCCGGCTGAGGGTCTTCCCCTGCCACGGGGGCAGCCAGCCCGGGCCCGAGCTCGAGGGCGAGGTGCCGGAGTGGCAGCTCTGGGTGCAGGACAGCCTGGTGGCCGTGGGGCCGGCCTCGCTGGACCAACTGTCCGGGTTCTTCCTCTACCAGTCCCCCGGGCAGGATGGCTTCGACCGGCCATACGTTTGGCGGGTGAGCGTCAGCCCGGATGGGGGGGACCTGCTCTGGCAGTGGATGGTCATCAGCGGCGGCACCGAGGTGAGACGGAATGCGCTGGGCAAGTTCCGGACATCGGAGACCGGGCTCTCGGACTGGCTGATGGTGAGCTACAACCAGGTGTACTTCGACTCGGCCACCTTTCAGTGCTCCACCGATGAGAGCATCATTTGCGACGGGCCGAGCTACACCGACACATTCGGGGCCTTCGACTGCATCGAGGGCCATGGCGTGTCGTACTTTGCCCGGCCCGACCAGATATGCGGTGGCTGTGGCCCTCGCTGGTATTTGGACCGTCCGCCAGGTGCGCGCTGTCCCCCGGGGGGGGGGGGGAGCTGCTGGACGTGTGTGTGTGTGTGTGCCCGGCTCGGCGTGGGTCTGGCGGCTGAGGGATGCTAACGAGCGAGACACGGTGTGGCGCGTCGTCGACGGGCCGACCCCGGGGGCCGGCTCGGGCGCCGGGGCGGGGGTGCTGCACGAAAAAACACACATACGGAAAAAAAAAACCAGGCGAGCCGCCATTCAGCCAGCCCGAGCACGAGTGCAAGCGCTGCGACGAGGACAGCTGCTGGACCTGCAATCGCCAGGGCTGCCTGGTGTGCGATAGTACACGGATTCCGGAGTACAGCGGCCCCGGCGGCCGGGTGGTCTGCCGGCAGGGCGGCTGCTCGCCGGGGTTCCACCTGGTGGCCGGGGTGTGCCAGGCCGAAGGGCCGGCCCTGCCGGTCATGCGCATCAGCCCGCCGGAGGTGGAGACCCTGCCCGGGCTGGACCCGGGCATCCCGGTGACGGCGCTGGCGGCCACGCGGCTGACCGTGGACCCGGTGTCCGGGGGGCCGGTGGTACCGGCGGTCGGAGGCACCGGGACCGACCCGGGCATGGTGCTCCTGCTGCAGGCCGGGCCCCAGGCCCGGGCATGGCTCATGCCCAATGGGGCCATCGGCCAGCCGGGCAAGGCCCCGCTGCAGCCGGTGGCCCTCCTGAGCGGCCCGCTGCCGGCGGATGTGGTGGCCGTGGCCGAGGTCGGGCCCTTCCTGGAGGATGGCGGCCAGCTGCTGCTGGGGCTGGCGCTGTGCGACCGCCAGGGCACCGTGTATGAGGCGTGGCTGGAGTGCACGTCCGGGCAGGCGGACGGGTCGGCGCCATGTGCGGCCGCCGGCGGCCCGGCCGTCCTGACGCCCCTGCTGCAGGGCACCGGCTGTGTGGACCTCCAGGTCCAGGCGACCACCGGCCGGCATGTGGTCATGCTGTCGGACCAGGCCCAGGGGGCGGCCCTGCTGGAGGCCGATCCGGCCGGCCGGCGGCTGCTGGCCACCCGGGTGCCGATGGATGGCATGGTGGTGCTGCCGGGGCCCGGGGGCCCGGATGGCCGCGTGGCCGACCCGGCCGTGGGCGACTGGCTGGTGGGCACCAGCGCCGGGGACCTGCCCTCGGCCATGCCCACGCGCTTGCCGGTGTGGGATTCCCGGTGGAGCTACCTGGTGGGCCGGTTCATTCGGGGCGTTGCCACCTGGCCGGATGTGCTGGTGCCGGTGGTCCTGCCGGCCGGCGGGGGCTTCCCGCTGGAGCTGGTGTTCGTGTCCACGAAGGAGGACCAGTGGCGGGTGGTTCGCGCGCCGGGCGAAATGCAGCCCACCGGCGCGACCATGTGGCTGGCATCCAGCATGCAGGTTTTGATGGAGACCCTGCCCCTGCCGGTGCCGCAGCTGCCGGTCAGCACGCTGAATGTCCGGGCCCAGGGGCTGCACATCCCCGGGTCGGCCACATACCCGAGTGCCTTGCTGCTGCAGGCGCACACCATGCTCGGGGTGTCGCTGCTCCGGTGCCCGGGCGACCGGGTCCTGTGCAGCTTCCTGCCGGCCGTGGTGCTGGAGCTGCCGGCGGCATTCCAGGTGCCCTCCGACAAGCGGCTTTGGCAGGTGGCCATCCCGCGGGCAGGTGGCCCGGCTCCCGGGCCCGGGGCCGAGGGCACCGTGCCGGTCGTCTCGCTGCTGGGCTTTTCCGAGGCCACCGGGCCGGTGCATGTGCGCCTGGGGGCCGACTGCCCGGCCGGCACCTTCGGGCCGGCCTGCGAGCCATGCCACCCGGACTGCCAGCAGGCGTGCACCGGCCCCGGGCCCGGGGATTGCGTCTGCGCCTTCTGGCTGCCGGAGGACCCGGCCGTGTGTCTGGCGGCCTGCCCGGCCGGGACCTACAGCGACTGGGGCGCCTGCCGGGGCTGCCATGCGTCGTGCGCCGAGTGCACCGGGCCCGAGGCCGGGGCGTGCACCGCATGCGCGCCGGGGCTCGTGCTGGAGGATGGCCACTGTGTGGTGGCCTGTGGGGCCGGGGAGTATGCGTGTGCCTCCGCGTGCCTGCCCTGCCCGGGAGAGTGCGCCAGCTGCGAGGCGGCCAGCGGCAGCGGCCCGGGCTGCGAGGCCGTGTGCACCGGCTGCAAGCCGGGCTTTGTCCTGGTGGGCGACGAGTGTGTGGCGGAGGTCTGCCCGGTGGGGGAGTTCCTGCCGCCGGGCTCGGACACGTGCGCCCAGTGCCACTGCACCTGCCGGGCATGCGCCGGCGGCGCCGAGCCCGACAAGTGCACCTCCTGTCCGAAGGGCTTCCACCTGTCGGAGGAGGGCCGGTGCCGGGTGTCCTGCCTGCCGGGGGGCCTGTGCCCCGGCCGCGTGGCCGAGGTGCTGCTGGTGCATCTACTTTGCTGGGCTCGGAAGTTCGGCGGCGGCCACTGAGAGTCTGCCTTCCACATCAGACAGGGGAATATACCCGAGATGTCGCATACGGCGAGGTTGTGTGTGTGGGGGGGGGGGGGCCTCTTGCTGCTGTGTCGTGCGCGTGTGGAGTCCCCGGCGGGGGGAGGCTGGCGCCGGGGTGCGTGGGCGGGAGGGGCACCGGTATGCCGGTGGTGAGTGGCGATTTGCGGATGGCAGGAGCCGGCACCGGAGAAGCCCCCCCGGGCGGGCGGGGCGGTCTCTTTCCGCCTCCTGCTTGGGGGCGAAGGCGTAGCATGGTGGGACAACGCGCGCGCGCATGACACTCCATGCGTGGCCGGCGTGGCCCCGGGGCAGGGGTGTCCAACGTGCCGGGGCATGACCCTTGTCCGGGCGGGGGGGGGGGAGGGGAAAGAGGGAAGGAGGGAGCCGGGGCGCGCAGCTGGTCCGGAAAAATCGCCCGGGGACCGCAACCCGGCGAAGCGGTGTGCCTGGGAGGTTGTTTTTACGCGCGGCGCGCGGCGTACTCGGCCGGCGGCTCTTTCGGCTGGGCGTAATGTGGCCAATAAAAAAGAAGCATTTCCAGCCGACCCGGCTGCATGCCTGGGCACCCGCGCCCGGCGGGGGAGAGCTCTGGGGGCGGCCATCCGTTGGCACTTTCTCCGTGCTGCGTGTGAGGGAGGCCGCCGGGGGGGGGGCTGAGATCGGCCGGGGGCGGGGGACACTCGCCCTGGGGGTGCTTTTCAGCGGGGCTTCTGCGGCGTGTGCGCATGGACGCCCTCTTCATGCTCCTCCACCCTTCCCTCTTCTCTTCCACCCGCTTGTTGGTTCTTTTTGTCTCTCTCTTCCCTTCCACCCGCTTGTCGGTTCGGTTTGTCTCTCTCTTCTTTCACTCGCTCTTTGCCTCGCCCTCTGTGGCGGCGCCAGCACCCCCTCCCTTGTGTGACCCTGCCACCGGCCGAGCGCCTGTCTCCTGCGACTGATCTCGGCCTTGTACACGGGCCCTGGTCGGGGAGAGGGGGGGAAGGCACCGGGCGCGTGCGTGTGTGTGTGCGCATGTATGTACGAACCTACATCCACCCATACATATGTGTGCTTGCCCACCCGGAGCGGTGCCGGGCCCGCGCGTCGGGCATGCCCGCGGTGCCGGCGCCCAGGCCGGCGGAAAGCAATGCACCGAGGGAGGTGGCAGCCACAGGGGGGACACCCTTTGGGGGACATGGGCGCGTTGCGACAATCAACAGCGCGCCGCGACGGTCGGTGCGGCTCGGTGCGGGCTTTGGGCTCTTGTGGCGAGGTGGCCCAGTGCCGGCGCCACGCGGCACCCCGGCCGCAGGAAGAGGACATGTGTATGCATGTGGTCCGGGGGCTGGATGCGGCCGTGGCGGGAGCAGTGCGAGCAATCGGGACAGCCGCTGAGGCCGAGGCGAGAGGCCCGACAGCCGTCGGCCCGGTGCCTTCCGGCATCCACCCGGGTCAAGGCCACTTGGGCAAAAGGCCCGGGGCCTCGGTGTGAGGAGCGCCGCATGGCGCCTCTGCCTGGGGAACCAATGTCGTGTGGCATGCTGGATGGCGGGCTTCAGCTTGTGCGTACCCCATGGCGGGGCCTTGTGCACCATGGGGCGACGGCCAGCGGCGCCCTTGCGCATCTGTCGTCCATGGCGATGGCCGGCTGGTCTGCTCAGCAGGCCCGGCCGCGCGCGCATGCCCCCCCCCCCCCCCCCTTACGCGACATCAGCCCCATGGGCCACGTCCAACATGTCCTCTTCCTTTCATCTCCCAAGGGGACAGGGCCCGGCTCGTGTTGATGCCCAGGGCCTGGACTGCTGTCCTGCTCGCCGGAGCGAGTGATCTACCTCCGGGACGGGGGCCGTTCCTGGCGGTGGGCCTACTCGGGCGTGCCTCGACCATGGCGCACGTCGAAGCGGGCCGGACCCTCGAGTCCCAGGTGTCCCATGGGCAGGGTGCTGGGGCCGGGCCGATCGCCGTGTCTGCCTGGGCCGGTCGGGGATGCGCCGGCCCGGTCGCCCGGCCATTGGCCCGACCTCTGAGCGCAGGCCGGCTCTCGTGCGATTCGACCTGGCGAGCACCTTGCACGGCGCCTCCCCCGCCTTGGGGCACCAGCATGTCGGTTGGGGCGGGGAGAATCTCGTAAAAAAGGGGGCTTGTGCGACCGGGGGCCCCTCCAACGGGGTGGAGCCCAGTCGCACCGGCGCATGGGGGCAGGTCGTGCGCCATGGCCATGCTCTGGCCCCGGCCGGCGGGCCATGCTCCGGCGCGCTTGATTCCAGGGCGGCAGCCCGGCCGGCCGCGCGCCATGACCGCCAGGGGATATGGCTCGGCGGGGGCCGACTTGGCGAGGTGCCCGCCACGGGAGGAGGTGCATGGGGCATCCGGATGTGCGTGTGCGTGTGTTTCGTCGAGCATGCGTGCGCCAGGATGGCGGTGAGGGCTTGTGCCACAAGTGGCCCCGGGCGGCGGGGGAGCCCCCGCGGATGGGGCTATGGTTATGTGAGGACGACTGCGTGAGCCGGCCCGGCCTGGGAGGTCGGCGAGTGTGCGCGGCCCACTGTCGACGCGTGGGCTGTCGGGCGCGTGTGCACCCCCCACAGCAGGGCATGTGGCGCGGGATTGCCGGGGCTGCCGTCCGGGCGGAGGCCCGTGTGCAGCCGGGCGGACCGCTCGGTCTTGTGGTGCGCATCGTGGCCGGGGATGGCCGCGGGGCCGAGGCGGGCGGCGGGTCCATCCGTGACGTCGGCGGCACGCCCTGGCACCTCCGCCGGGGGGTCGCCGCGTCGACAGTGGGATCATGTCCCTTCGCATGGGTGGCACTGGCGGAGAGACGGTGGCGGGGCAATGCCACGGGCACGGACTGGCCTGGACCGCCAGCAGGTCCGCCCCTTCCGGCCTTGGAGACAGCCAGCGGGGCCTGGCGGGTGTTGTGGAGTCGCGGCGGGGATTGGTTTGCGCCTGCGGGCTGGCTTGGGCGTGTGCCGCGTGTTGGTCCCGGTGCAGCAGGTCCCCCCGGGGGCGTGCTGCCTGGCTTGGCTGCGCGCGAGTTGGCGCCCGGCGTGGGGGCTCGGCGGTGCTTGTGCGCCTGCTGCCCCGGGCCGCCCTGACCCCGTGGCGAAGACTCGCCCCCGGAAGCGGGTCTTTGTTGGGGCGATGAGCATGGCCCAAGCACCAGGCGCCCGAGAAGGAGGCACCCTGGGGGCGGGGCCGGTCCGGCACGGGGCGAGGCCTGCTGGCCCGGTCGCACAATCCGTCTGTGCACTTCGGTGTGCACTTCGGTGTGCACTTCGGTGTGCACTTCGGTGTGCACTTCGGTGTGCACTTCGGTGTGCGCTCGGGTGCCGCCGCCGGTGGCGGCCCCGGGGGTGTCGCGCGGATGGCTTTGGGGCCCGGCGATCACCGGCCAGCATGTGTGCTGCGGCCCTTTGGCGCCATGATCGCCGGGCGGGTGGGCCGATGAGGGCGCGCTGGCGGGCGGCTCTGTTGTTCGCACCTGGGCGTCATGTTCGCGCGTGTGTTGTCCCGCTGTCTCTCTCCCTCTCTCTCCCTCTCTCTCCCTCTCTCTCCCTCCCTCCCTCCTTCCCTGTCTCTCTCGACAGCGGGAGCAGTTTGCTCATCCGGTCGATGATGGGTGCGCGCTAGGGGCGGTTGCCATGTGGGCCTGGCAGTGGCCACCGGATTCGAGTGCCATGCGAGCAGGATGCCGGGTGCCCCATGGCAGCGGCCACCGTGGGTGGGGTCATTTTGCCCCCGACAGCCGCGGGCGTTGGCCGTCTTGCAGTGCCCTGTCGCGCGCCATGGGGCCTGGCACGCCTCGGGAGCCTGGGTGTCGGCGTCAGCCGGCCCGGAACCCCCGGGCCCGGGCCGACGCGTGTGCCGTGCCTCGGGGCGCCACTTGGCACCGGCCGGCCATCCCGGGGGCGTGGTGCGCTTTCTCCCTCGCCCTCGCGTGCCTGCGCCCTGGGGCTGTCCTCCGCCTGGGCTGTGGGTTTGCGTCTTCATGTGAAGCGCGCCGGCATGCGGGCCCCCCCTCCCGGGCGCATCGCCGCCGTAGCCCCGGTCGCGTGGACCGCGCCCCGCCACTGCTCTTGCCTGTCGGCCATGCCCATGGTTTCTCCGGCGCCTCTGTCGGTGTGTCTGCCGCGCGCGCACGCGCGCATGTGCCTGCGGGCCCCCTTGCCTGCCGGCCGGGCTGGCCCGGGCCGTGGGACCGGGCTTTCGCTGCGGCGGTGCCTCCCCGGCCGGCCGCCTGACCCGGGTCCCTGGCCGGGGCGAACACACCTCGGGGCCGAGGTCGCGCGGCTGCACCGGGCCCCCCCGTCCATGACATGCATGTGGGTCCGCGCCCGGCGCATGCCCGGGGGGGGATGGGCCTCCCAGGCGGGGGAGGGCGAGACGGCCTGGGCATCGACTCCCGGCGTGCTTGGGGCTGGGTCGGCGCTCGGCCGCAACATCCGGCGGTTCGTGTGCCTCTCCTCGCGCCGGTCGGCTGCTCTCGGCCTCTTTGTCGGTTTGTCCGTGTGGGTGTCTACGCGTCGGCATGTGCCGGCGTGGGAGCGGTCGGCGCCTGGCGGGCGTCGGCACAGCCGGCCGGCCTGCCCTGCCATGCTCGGCTCCGCACGGCAGCCTCTTGCGCTGGGGAGCGCCCGGCCACATGGCTGTGAGGGGGGACCCTTCTCCTGGGGCTTGGGCCCGGCCGGGAGCGCGTCGGCGTCACATCAGCCGAGGGCCGAGCCCTGCGTGTGTCGCCGGCCATGCCGGTCCCAGGGGGACCTTCCCTGGCCGGGAAAAGGGGCCAGGTCATGTGCCAGTAGATGCCGAGGAGGCAGCCACCGCCGCGCCTGGCGAGGCGGTGGCCCGGCGTGAGCCGGGGGAGCAGAGGCTAGGGGGGGGGGGGGGCTGCGGCGGCTTTCGGTGCACTCGCCAGGGTCCTTGCACATGCCGGTGGTCTTCGGGCGGTGTCGGGCGTGCGCCGTCGCCGAGGTGGCAGCTTCTGGGGTCGGAGGTGCAGCACCGGCTGCCTGCGGACAGGGCCGCGCCATGGACAACATAGGCCAGAGGGAGGGCGGGCCGAGGAGAGCACTGGGCGCTGCAGGGGCACACAAGTGGCACATTTTTGGTGGGGGCATCGGTGTGTGCCGAGAGCCGGACATTCTGGCCCCCGGGCGCGGGCGGATGAATGGACACACATACACACACACGGAGGGGGCAGGCCGCGTGTGCGTGCGTGCGCCCGCCGGAGGAGTGCCCTGCTCGGCGTTGGCACCGTAGCCCGCGCTTTGACCAGTCAGGCCAGCCGCTCGGGCGCGCCGCCCCGGGCCCGCGCATTGCCATCGGCCTGTCCCCCCCCCCCCTTCCCGGGCAACGGAGGCGGACACACGCGGGGTGCGGAGGATCGCCCGCGCGTCCCGGGGTGGTCCTTGCCGCCGGCGGCATGCGGCGCGCCAGAGGACGGTCCTTGGCACGGCGCGAGACGGTGCCAGGTGCCAACCCAGCCGCGCGCATGAGGGGCCGCGTTGGCGCCTTGCCCCGGGCCACGGCACGGGCCGGGGGCGCGGCCGTGCCAACTTGCCGGCGGGGGCCCGCCCGGTCAGGCCGGCTGGCGGGGGCGACCAGCCCGGTCGCGGCCCGGTGCGGCCCGGTGCGCCTCGGCCTGGCGGCCTGGCGTGAGCGGCCCCCAGACGGGGTCGGTCACTGGCCCCCGGGCGGAGGGCCCCGTGGCTGTGTTTGCATGGGCGCCGGGGTCGATCGGGTGTGGCGGCCTGCACAGTGCGGGGCCACGCCTGCCCGCCCCGCCGGCCGTGGGCACACACACACACACACACACACACACACACACACACACCGGCCGCTCGTTGCGGCCTGCCCGAAGCGCGGGCCGGACGTTGCCTCCGGGCGCGGCGGCGGCGGCGGCCAGGCCGGGACCCCGGGACTGCACCGGCCCCCAGGCGTGTGCCTCCTTCCGTGGCCTCGCACAGGGGCGGGACCCCCAAGAGGCCCCTGTGAATGGGGCCCCCCTCGGCGGCCGGCCGGCGCGGGTCGAGGCACACCCCCGACTCTCCCCTCCCCCGCGCTTGTCTGTCCTCACCTGCTCGGTTCCGCCCGCTGCCTGCGTGACCCCTCTCCGCCCCAACCTCTCTCTCTCCCCCCCCCCTCCCCCCCTTCCCGAGCCCCCATCGAGTCATGGCCGGTTTGCCGGCACTGGCCCAGTGGCCGGCCTTGGCCGCGGTGCTCCTGGTGCTCGGCATGCTGGCATGCTCGCGCGCGCAGGACATCCACCTCCATGCCGCGCGGCAGCCGATCCTGAGCAGGCCCGAGCCGGTGTCCCTCATTTTGGCGCCCGGTGGCGACATGTTTGCCATGGTCCGCGAGAGTAATGTAGCCTTCTGGTTTGGCATGCTCGTCGATGCGGGCTTCTACATGAGGGAGCACCGGTGGGGCTTGTACTTGCTGGACCACGGCCTGGGCCTTACCTCGGGGGATCCCAACAACCCCGGCACCGCGGCCATCATGGTCCCCCGGGGGTTCAGCCCGTACCATGGCAACCTCCTGGAGCACACCCTCGATGGGGTGGGCTTCTTCGGGGACCCGCCCCCCTATGCGTTTCGCTTGCCGGGCGTCCGGCTGCTGGCCGGATCGTCCAGCCTACTTAGCGCGAACTTCCTCGGGCTGAGGCAGGACCCCGGCCCGGGGCAGGTGGTGTACCTGGGGGCGCTTGACATCCTCATGGTCGAGGACATCGAACACAACATGCCCCCGGTGGTGGGGAATGCCCTGGCCATTGCGGCCTCCCGGGGGGCGTTCTTCCTGATCGACGACATGCACCTGCAGCATGTGTCCTTCATCGGCCAGGGCCCGGCCACGGTCAAGCACATCGCCAGCCCGGGCAGGGCGCTCCAGCTGGAGGTGGCGGTCTTCCCCGAGGCGCTGGCCGAATGCCCGAGCGTGGACGAGGCGGTGCTGGTGCTGCTGGACACCGGCCGGGTGTGGGTGTGCACCTGCTTTGGCAGCCCCGAGCAGCGGATCATCCCCGGCGGGGACCTGCCGGCCGGGGTGCCGGTGGCCGGGGCCCGGCTGATCACCCTCCCGACCGGCAGCCCGACAGGCATCCGGCCGCCGGTGTACCTGTCGGCCGCCGGGGCGAGTGACGCGCGCAACCGGCTCTGGCAGGTGACCCTGGTCCATGGGGCGGTCCAGTGGCGCCGGGTGGTTCTCCCCCCGGCGGTGGCCCATGTGTCCGGCATGCAGCTGGCCCTCAGCAGGACGGCATACGGCCGGGCCCACTGGGTCTTGGCCGACGCCGAAATGCGGGTTCTCTTCGACGCCGATGCCTTCCACTGTGCCACCGACTCGAGCATTGTCTGCGACCGGGAGGGGCTGTCCACCGGGTCGCCTCTCGGGTGGACCTGCGTCGCGGGTCACGTCGAGGCGCCGCTGGTGTCGGAGACGGTCCTGTGCGCCGGGTGCGCCGAGGGCCACTATCTACACCGGCCTGATGGTATGTGTTTTCGTGTTTTCGTGTTTTCGTGTTTTCGTGCTTGCGTGTATGCGTAGCTGTGTGTGTGCGCGTAGCTGTGTGCGCGTAGCTGTGTGCGCGTAGCTGTGTGCGCGTAGCTGTGTGCGCGTAGCTGTGTGCGCGTAGCTGTGTGCGCGTAGCTGTGTGTGTGTGTCTCTCTGGGGCTATTTGTGCCTGTGGGTGTGTATCTTTGTGTGTGTGCTCGCGTGTTCAAGGCACCTCGACAGGCTTTTGTCTGGCTCTTCTCTCGCCCCAGTCGGCCAGGCAACTGACCCGCGGAGGACATCGCCCCAGGGGAGGCGCCCTTTGCCCAGCCGGAGCACGAGTGCCGGCCATGCGCGCAGGCGGGCTGCCGGACGTGCGACCAGGACCACTGTCTGGTGTGCGCGGAGGGCATGCTGCTGGAGCCGAGCGGCCCGGCCGGCCGGACCGTCTGCGTGGCGTCCTGCTCGGCCGGCTTCCGGCCGGTGTCCGGCATGTGCCTTCCGAGCGGTGGCACCCTGCCGGGCATCGGCCTGACGGTGCCGGTGGCGGCCAGTCTCCTGGCCGGGCTGGGCCCCGGCGACCGGGTCACCGCCATCGGCCCGACGTGGCTGTCGGTGGACGCGGCCTCCGGCGTGGCCATCCTGCCGGCCAGCGCCAGCGGCCCGGCCACGGGGGTGCTCCTTTTCACGGAGCACCTCAAGTCCTACATCCTGCCGGCCGAGGCCGTCGGGGCCCCGGGGGCGCATGCGGCGGCGGAGGTCCGCCTGCTGAGCGAGGACCTCGCCAGCCCGGTGGTGGGCTTCGTCGACGCCGGGTCCTCCCGTCGGGATGGGCAGCTCTTCCATGGCCTGGTCATGGTGGGCCGGGATGGCCAGGCCCAGCTGGCCAGGCTGACGTGCCCGGGCTCGGGGGCATGCCATGCCGGCGAGCTGGACTCGCCGAAGTTCCTGCTCGACAACTGCTCCAACAGGGTTCGGCGGTTGGGCCATTTGGCGATCGCCCTAGACCGGCCCCGGGAAGGGGTCCTGGTGGTGTACCTGAGTGGCCTGCTGGACCGTTGGTCGGTGCATGCCTTCTCCGCCGCCGAGCTGGTGGTGCTCGATATGTATGACAGGGTCCGGCGCGCCGAAAGCCACACTGGCACCTGGATGCTGCTGCCGACCGAGGCCGGCAATGCCAGCCTCTCGCCGGATTCGGCTTTCGGGGCGTACCCGGCGGGCTTGCCGCCGTTAGCCGGGCGCTTCTTGGCCGACTCGCTGGCGCCCGGCCGGGGCTTTGTGCCGGTGATGCTGGCCCGCGGGCCCGGGGCCCGGGTGTCGGGGGAGCTGCTCTTCACCGGGACCGTCGGCACGGCGTGGCATGTGGTCCATGTGCCCGGGGACATGGTGCCGGCCGGGCGATCGACCGGCCTGCCCTCCAGCCGCCATGCCATCGGCACCTTCCCCCGGGCATTGGAGCCCCCGGCCGGGGGGGGGGGCGCACCACGATGCCCTGTTCCAGGCGGTGGCCCTGCCGGCTGGCGGCCCGCGGTACCCCAGCGCGCTGCTGCTGCTGTCGCGCACGTTCGTCGGGCTGTCGGTGCTCCACTGCCCGGGCGGGCCGGCCGGGGCGTGCGCCCTGCTGCCGGCGGTCTTTGCGGACCTGCCGGCGGAGCTGCGGCCGCCGGCCGGCACGGCCCTCTGGACCCCGGCGGCGGTGGATTTCGCGCCGGCCGGCGGTGTGTCCGCGCGGTCGCCCGGCTCGGGGTGGCAGATCGATTTCCTGACCATCGCGCCGGCCACCGGGCCGGTGGCCTTTTCGCTGGTGCTCAGCTGCCCGGCCGGGTCATATGGGCCCATGTGCGATGGGTGCCATCCCACGTGCGCGGCCTGCGCCAGCCCGGAAGAGCCGGAGCACTGCACCGCATGCGCCCCCGGCCGGGCGTGGCTCCATGGCCGGACGTGCGTGAGCGAGTGCCCGGCCGGCATGTGGCCCGATGGACCGGCGTGCCGGGCCTGCCCGGGCGAGTGTGCGACCTGCACCTCGGCCGCCGCCTGCACCGGGTGCGTGGCCGGGCGCTTCCTGTCGGGCACGCACGCGTGCGAGCCGTGCGACGGGTCGTGTGCCCGGTGCACCGACGACCGGAGCTGTGACGCTTGCCGGCCGGGGTTGGTCTTTGCCGGGGTCGACCCGGGGGTGCCCTCGCGCTGCACGTTGGCCTGCCCGCCGGGCGAGTTCGCCGGGCCCGCCAGGTGCACTTCGTGCGGGCCTTCCTGCGACCTGTGCGCCGGCGGGGCGGCATCGTGCACCGTGTGCGCCGAGGGCTTCCGCTGGGCGAGCCAGCCGGGCCCCGGGGGCGCTGGCCCGTGCGTGCCCTGCGACCCGGGGTGTGTGTCCTGCACGGCGGACCGGTGCCTGGTCTGTGGGCAGGGGCTGCTTCTTGGGCCGGATGGGGCATGTGTGGGCTCCTGCCCGGACGGGTGGTGGCCCAACGGCGAGTCGTGCCAGCCGTGCGATGTCAGCTGCGGGACCTGCTCCGGCGGCGATGCCGCGCAGTGCACCGGGTGCGGGACCGGGCTGGATCTCGTGGCGGCCGGCCCCGGCGCGGTGGGGGCCTGTGTGTCCGGCTGCCCGGAGGGCGAGTACCGGGACCTTGGGTCGATGGCGTGCCGGGCCTGCGACGCGGCGTGCGCCACGTGCAACGGCCCGACCGATCGGGACTGCTGGCGGTGCAGGGAGGCCCTGCTGCAGGATGGCGACTGCGTGCAGGCCTGCGCCGCCCGGCATGTGGCCCTTGCCGGGCGGTGCCTGCCCTGCCATGTGTCGTGCGACGCGTGTGCCGGGACCCGGAGCACCGAGTGCCTGGAGTGCGCCGACGACCTGCTGGGCCTGCCGGCCGGGCAGGCGCCGGCCCGGTGTGTGCCCGCCTGCCCGGCCGGGTACAGCCCCTCGGCCGGCGGGTGCGCCGCCTGCCCGGCCCACTGCGCCAGCTGCCCGGGGCTGAGCACCGTGTGCGGCCTGTGCCAGCGGGGGTGGCTGCTGGCCCGGCCGGACTGCGTGCAAAGCTGCCCGGAGGGAACCTCGTCGCTGGGCAGCGAGTGCTTCTCTTGCCACGAGGGCTGCGGCAGCTGCTTTGGGCCGGGGCCCGACCAGTGCCTGTCCTGCCCTGGGCAGGGGCTGGTCCTGGTGGCCGGCCGCTGCCTGGCCGACTGCCCGGCCGGCATGTTCCCGGACCGGGGCACCTGCACCCCCTGCAGCGACACGTGCGCCGCGTGCACCGGGCCCACGGACAGCGAGTGCACCCGCTGCACCGGGGATAGGGCGCTGCTGCGGGGCACCTGCCGGGCCGGCTGCCCGGGGCGCTTTTTCCCCGCGGACAATGTGTGCCTTCCGTGCGGGGCCCGTTGCGCCAGCTGCCAGGACGCGAGTGGCTGCACCGGCTGCGAGGAGGGGCTCATGCTGCGGCCGGATGGCGGCTGCGCCGCCGGCTGCCCAGCCCGGTCGGCCGAGTGCCCGGCCCGGGCCCGGTGCGTCCCCTGCTCGGGGGAGTGCGCCGCGTGCGAGGCCTTCGGCCCGGGGTGCGAGGCCTCCTGCACGCGCTGCGAGCCGGGGCATGTTCTGTCGGGCGGCGCGTGCCATGTTGCCTGCCCGGCGGGGGAGTTCCTGCCGGCCGGTGGGCACGCCTGCGAGCCGTGCTCGGCGGCGTGCCGGACATGCTTTGGCGCGGCGGGCCAGTGTACCGGCTGCAATGGTGGCCTCCTGCACCCGGGCGAGGGCATGTGCGCGTCGGCCTGCGCCGGGGCGTCGGCCCCGGTGGCCGGCGTCTGCCTGAGCTGCTTGGCCGGGTGCGAGCATTGCGAGGCCGGGCCCGGCCAGCCGGAGTGCACGGTCCAGGCGGCTGGCCAGCTGGTCTGTCCGGAGGTTGCATCCTGTAGCCGCTGCGCCCCGGGCCGGCTGCTACTGCCGGGCCGGACGGCCTGTGTGGAGGTCTGCCCGGCCGGGCACTTCGCCGATGCGGACGGCCAGCCGGCCGTGTGCGCCCCCTGCCATGCGAGCTGCACCGATTCCTGCACCGGCCCCGAGGAGGGTGACTGTGTCTCATCCTCCAGACCCAAGTCCTCGCGCGTGGGCCTGGCCGTGGGCCTGTCGGTGGGCCTGCTGCTGCTGCTGATCCTGCTGGTACTGCTGGTGCTGTTCCTCGTGCGCCGGCGCCGCGGGCAGGCCACCGCGAAGGCGCCGGCCGACGACGAGGACGCCACCGAGCTGAACACCATTGTGGAGCTGGCCCTGCCCGGGGCCATCCTGGTGGACGTGGCGGTGGACTTCCGGCCGCTGGACGAGACCCTCGGCGCCGGGACCCAAGCGAGTGTCTACGCGGCGCAGGCGGTCGGGGCCGGGATCGTGGCCCGGCTGGGCTGCCCGGAGGTGGTGGCCGTGAAGAAGATGCGCATCGAGGCCATGCAGCCGGTGCACCATGCCCTCTTCCAGAATGAGGTGGCGCTGATGTGGCTGCTGCGCGAGCATGGCCACATCGTCCGGCTGTTCGGGTACAGCGCCCGGCCGCCGGCCATCGTGCTGGAACGCTTCGACGGTGACCTGGATACGCTGCTGCACTCGGAGGTCCCGCTGTCGGACCTGCAGCTGGCGGACATCTGCCAGCAGTGGGCCGCCGGGCTGGAGGCCATGCACGCGCACGGGGTGGCCCACTGCGACCTGAAGCCGGGCAATGTGTTTGTCAGCCGGACGGCCGCTTCCTGGCGGGCGGCCCTCGGGGACCTGGGCACGTCGAAGAACCTGAGCGCCGACCGGTCGTCGGCCCTGCTGAGCGCCTTCCCGGAGCTGAATGCCATGTCGGTGCCGTATGCCGGGCCGGAGGTCCTCCAAGCCTTCCGGCGGAGCGCGCCCCTGGACCGGGGGCACTTCTTCCCGGCCGATGTGTACAGCGCCTCGGTCATGCTCTACGAGTGTCTGACGCGCGCGGCCCCCTGGCCGGGCATGGATGCTGGCCAGATCACGGCCGCGGTGCTTGGAGGCTCTCGGCCGCGTGTGGCCGGCCTGCCGGGGGCCGGGCCGCTGGCGGCGGCGCGCGACCTCATCGAGGCCGGCTGGCAGGCGGAGCCCGGTCGGCGGCCTCCAGCGGCCACCGTCCGCCAGCGGTGCGCTGCGCTGTTTGTCTCGGCCAGTGGCTTGGCTCTCTCTTGAAAAGGCGCCTGGCCGCCCGAGGCGCGCTGCTGGCCCCGGCCATACAAGCAGCCAACCCGCGGCGTGGCACATTGCGTGCAGTGGTAGTGGGGCGCAGGGGGGGGCGCGGGGGCCGGGGGACGTTGACTGGGCTGCGATTCGCCCGCGAGAGGGGCGGCCACTTGGCCAGCACAAGGAGTACCCACTCGGCGAGGCGGTCAGGCGCAGCTGGAGAGCTCCAGCAGGGTGCACATCCCCGCGCGGGAGCGATGCCGAGCGGGAGGCCCCGGGCCCCCGCGTGGATGATCACGCCCGAGGGACATGGCCACACGGCTGTCTTTCGCTGGGGATGATATGCTTTGCGACAATAGAAAGTACCTCCTTTTGCGTGTTGGGGGAAGTGCCCTCCGGGCAGCGAGCCGGGCTTCCGACCGGTGGGTCGCCGGCTCCTGCCACATACCAACGCATCATAGTGGCCCCCAATGATTGGGGAGCACCGCACCCGGGGCAGAGGGGGCTATTTCTTTCCATTTGCCCGGCCCGGACAGCCGAGGGGGGGGGGGGCAGCCGCTTGCTCCGGCGCAAGCACGGCAGGGTGGCGGCTGCGGTGGTGCCTGGGCGGGCGTCGGGCCTCTTGCCGGTTTTCCATTGCTGGTGCCCTTGACGCACCTGGGGCGCTGCTCGCGAGGGCGGGCCCCTCGATTCGCGCCCGGCTCCGCCGGTCCATGGAGGACACCGAGCCACCTTGAGTCGTGGGTCCAGCAGTCAGCCAGACACGGGTTCCGTCGCGGCCGGTCCCGGGTCCGACCTGTCGCGTCCGGATGGCCCGGAGGGGGCGGCAGCCATGCTTGCCCGTGCGGGCCGGCTCCCGAGAGCCTGTGCCTGTGTGCATCGCATGCGGCAAGGGGTGACCCTCTTCCTTGGGGCCGGGGCTCCGAGCCACGCGCACGCGCGCGCGCGCGCGTCCCATTGCTCCGGGGGTGGGGATGGCCCTCTCCAGAGCCAGCGTTGGGTTGGCTTTCTATCTGGGCCTGCTGATCCGCTTGATGGGCAGCAAGGCAAGCAGGGTGGAGGCCGGCGTATTTGCCCAGCGCCTCCTGCGTGTTTGATGCATTGTCCAAGGGTCCGGGAGGCAGGGCCGGGCCGAGGCATGGTCGCGATGCGGGGCGCGCCCGGCATCTTGCCGGGGTGCCCCTCGGCCGTTTGGTTGGTGTGTGGAAGCTGTGCCGCGCTCGTGCCTGGTTAGCCTCGGCGGTCGGGCGCATGGGCACATACAAGCAGGCAGGTGCCTGCCCTCCTGGTGCCCGGCTGCCTCGGGGCAGCCCGGTGCGCGCGCGTCCATCGGGGGACCGGTGCCATGTGTCGTGCTGGCAGGCTGGCCCCGATGCCCACGTCGGCAGGGCGCGCGCCCGGACCGGATGTCCTGGTCCGCGGCCGGCGCGGTGGGCCGGCAGCAGCGTCGCATTTTTGCCGGGGGCCGGGGGCCGGGCGGCGGTCCCGTTCGGCAGCCGGCCGTGTGCGCGCGTGAAGGGGCATCCCCAGCGCGCCGGCGGCCCGCCTGGGTCTCCTTGACATTGCCCGGCCCCCGGCGAGGGCCGACCCGCGGTGGGGCTGCCTTCCCTGCGGCAGGCTGGCCGAGACCGGGCATCGCGCCGTGGGCCCGTGTCGGCTTGTTCCCCTGCCTCTGGCGCGGGGAGCGGGCCGTGCTGGAGCCGGGGGAGGGGGGGATATTTTGTCCGGCCGCAGAGGCCCCTCCGGGGTGTTTGTGCCATCCGGGCCGGCAGTGGGTCTCACATGGCCGGCCGTGCTCCTGGCACCGCTGGCAATATCTCCCAGTGTCCCAAGGGAGGCCCCGCCCTCTCTTGTGTATTTCATGTTTGCCCGTGGCCTCTCGTCTTCTGGCCCTGCCTGGCCCGCCCCCCCCCCTGGACTTGGGGCCCGGGGTGGTCGGGCGCGTGGGGCCGATTGTGTGCTGGGTCTCGCGGACTTGTCAACTTGGGCGGCGGAGCCGGCACAGCAGGTGTCAGCCGGTCGGGGGTGGTCTTACGCCGGGAGATCCCCGGGGATGGGGGGATGTTATTTTTTTTTTCCCGGCCCATGGAGATGTCTTTGGTGCAGGGGCTCGGAACAGGGGCCCATAGTTGGAGGCCGGGCTCGATCGGTGGCCATGTCTGGGGGTGGGGCGAGGGGGGGGGGGCACGCCGTCGCGCGGTGGCCGTGGCGGTGGGCGGCCACGGTCGGGAGTATTGCCAACGGACCAGCTCGGGCTGTTGGCGCGCGGCGGTGTGCGCGCGCGCGCGCGCGCGTGTGTGTGTGTGTGTGTGGCTGGACGCGTGTGCTCACCTCCTTCGTAGATACAGACTTGCCCTGTTAGGACGATCTTCGGGCGCGAAGGGGGCGCAGCGGCGGCAAAGGGGGCAAATGTGAGGGACCCGGCCTGTTGCTCGGCCTCGAGAGGTGGCCGGCGGCCCCGGGCCCAGACCTGCCCCTTTGGCGACGGGCCTGCCGCGATGGGGGCACTTCGCGGGGTCGCGCCATGCCCCCTCGTCGATGGGGGTCACTTGCCAGGGGGGGGGGGGGGAACCCCCCTGGCCCCCCATTCCGCCGATTGGCCGCGCGGAAGCGGGCAGCCGGGGAGGAATAAATCGCCCCGAGCTGGCGGTCTCGCAACCGGGCTGCGAAAGTGGCATCCCTGTCGTGCCGCCTGTTGCTCGCCTCCTCCTTGTCCTTTCTTCTTGCTCCTTTGCGCGGGCTCTCTCTCTCTCTCGCCCCCTCTATCCGTGGTCTTCTTTCACGGCCTCTCTTTTCACGGGCCTTGTCTCCTTCTCTTCCCAGGACTCGGGCTGTCCTTTGCCCCGTGCTTCGGCCATGCGTGGTGGCCATCGGTCCGGTGGCGGCGGCAGCATGAGCAGCGGCTCGCGGGCCACGTCAAGCTCATCAAGCTCCTCGACCTATCGGCGGCATCCGGCATCCGGCAGCAGTAGCAGCGGCGGCTCGGGCCAAGGTGACCGCGATTGCTGCGCCGACTGCTGCGAAGCCGTCTGGTATTGCAGGCTGAGTGGAAGACCGTGCGTTGCCCCGGTGCCCGAGGGGGGGGGGGGGGGGGGGGGGGGGGTCTGATGGGCTTTTCTTTTCTCTCCTCCCTCCTGTGATGGGTCTTCTCGGCATGGGGCTCGGCGATTGACACCCGAACTGGGGACCGCGGCGCCCGGCACACAGGGACCTTCCCAAGTTTGTCCGCGTGCACAGGGTGATTTGCATGTCGGCCTGCTGGTGGGGCCTGGTCTTTTCGTTTGTGGGCATGATGGTCTGCTTGACGTCCCTTCCGCTGTACCAAACCCGGACGCATTACCTCCCGCCGGCCGGGACCTTTTGCCATGACATCGATGGGTTCTACTTCGAGGGGGTGTCTCTCGAGTCGAGGGCGGCGCTCGAGGCGTACTTCATGCCGCAGGAGGCCAGTCCCCCGGAGCGCGTCAGCCGGCTGACGGGTGACGTGGTCACCTCGATGAGTAGCCCGGTGCAGAATGGCTACCACGCGATGGACATCTACCTGCCGGCCGGGGCCGGGCTGACGTCGATCCTGGTGGGGGAGGCATCCTGTCCGCTGTACTACCTCGTCATTCGGGGGGCGTACAATTTCGAAAGCTGGCAAGATGGCCAGTCGGTGCCCTTCGAATTCTACGAGATCTTTCGGTCAGGCAGCCCGCTGGTCCATTCCCTGCAAGTGAGCAAGTCAAGTCACTACTTTTTCGTGGTCTACAACAGCACTCCCGAGCCATGCCACCGGATGCCGGTCTTCATGCAGCTGGCGTCCGATATGCCGGCATACCGCCTGCGGCCGGACGCCCGTGTGCCCATGGGCCAGGAGCTAGCGGTGCCGCGTGGGCAGCCCGGCACGACATCGGTCATCATTCACACGTCCAATGCGCCGGTGTATCACGAGTTGCAGATGCTCTATTCCCGCCGGCCCGGGGCCCTGGACATGGTGCTGGGGCTGAGCATCGGGTTGCCCTATGGGCTGGCCCTGGTCGGGGTGTTCACCAGCTGGGTGTTCTATCGGAGGAGGCTGTCCCGGAATGCGAGAGTGGCGGACAGCACCAGCGCCAGCGCCAGCGCCAGCGGCGGCGGCGGCGGCGGCAATGGCATCCCGAGCAGAAGCCACAGCCAAGAGGCCCGGTCGCCGGGGCTGGGCGCCGCGGACTCGGGGTCGGCGCCGGCGCCCGGGCAGAGGTCGAAGGTAGTGCACTTTGCCGAGACCCACGAGGTGCTTGGACCATCCGCGAGCAGGCGGGGCTCCGTGGCGTCGACCGGGAGTGCGACTTTGGAGTGTGCGCACGGGGGCGAGCACCCGCTGCTGGCCGGGGCGCCGGTGGAGGATTGGACGGCGGACCCGGCATCCGGCCCGCTGGCAAATGTCTCGCCCCTCGCCAGTGCGTCGGGCTATTGGGCCATCGAGAATGTGCCGATGGGGGACATGGTGTCGGAGCTGCCGCCGCCATATTCGGCTATGCCGCCGCCGCCGCCGCCGCCGGTGTCTTCCTCGGCCGAGGGGTGGTCCAAATATTGACTTGCGTTGTTACTTCCTCCGGGTGAGGGGTGGGGCCGCTCGCTCGGGTGCTTGTGGGGTGTGGGGGCGATATTGCAGTGGATGCGGGGCATGGGGCCGTGTGATGCGGGCATTCTCCGGCAAGGTGCCCATCGGGCGCGCAGGCGGAGGGGCCGAAGAGTGGGGCATCAAACGTGCGCCTCTCATCGGCGTCTCCCGACGCTGTGGTGCAAGTGTGTGTGTGTGTGTGTGTGTGTGTGTGTGTGTGTGTGTGTGTGTGTGCGTGTGTGCGTGTGTGTTTGTGCGCGTATGTACGCTTATGTACACTTATGTACACTTATGTGCGCTTATGTGCGCTTATGTGCGCGTATGTGCGCGTATGTGCGCGTATGTGCGCGTATGTGCGCGTATGTGCGCGTATGTGCGCGTATGTGCGCGTGTGTACGTGTGGTGAAGCGTGCAATCGAGTGCGCACTTCGGTGCTCCTGGCTATGATCGAGCATTTTGCCGACCCACTGGCCGGCCTGCGCCGTACCCATGGGTGTCAGATGGATGCATATGCCGTCCGGCGATCGCGCTGGCCAGCTCGCGACCATTTAAGGACACGCCCCCAGGGCAGCTGGATGGTTATGGGGGTATGCTCCTGAACGGCTCGACTGCCCTCAGGTCGGGTCCATTCCGGCCCGATCGCGTCAGCTGCCAGATGCTACCGGTTATGGTTATGGGGGTCGACTTGGCTAGTGTGGCTGGAGAGAGGGGCCGCCCCCCCCCGCCCCCCCACACACCCCACACACCCCCCTCACACAGAGCATTGGCCCATTTGAGGTGCGGAGGCACATGACCCGCGGTGGACGCCCGCAGCGCCGGGCGAAGCGGGCACGCTGGAGCCGGATATCCTTCCGAGAGCCGTGACCCTGCAACGCCAAGGGGGCCAGGCTGGCTGGAGCTTTCTCGGCCTGTGTGTATGTGTGGATTTGCGTGTCCCCATATGCCAATGTGGATGGCGTGGACACTTGGCGGAATGTGGCGAAACCAGCCGGCCCCTGCTCCGCCATAACCCACAGCCCACGCCAGGCCCTTGCCCTGGCGAAAGGCGGGGGAGCCCGTGCGGGAAGCCCGGTTCCCCTGGGCCTGTGCTTGCTGGCCCGGGATTGCCGGCCTACCAGCGGGCACCCGCTCCATTCACTGAGCATTGGCGTGTCACATCGGCCGAGGCCCGGCCCAGGCCCTTTGTGCCGCTCCTGCCATGCCGGCCGGGGAGCCCCTTGCCCGACTGGGAAAAGGAGGCGAGGCCAAGTGCCAGTGGGCGGCGCAGGGCACGGAGCCAGTGTCGCGCTTGGGGAGGGGCGTAGCAGGGCCACAACCGAAGGAGCAGCAGGGTGATGGCGGCCACCGTGGGTGGCGCGCACTCGCCAGCAGTGGCCTTTGCGCCGGCCGGTGGAAGGTCGGACACGCGTGCTCGCAGAGGTGGCTGTTTTTGGAACCGGAGGGGAGGGACACTGGCTGCCTGCCGATGGGGCCATCCCACTTATGCCGGAGCATGCAGCTCGCATGGGTGAAAACCGGGGGAAGCGTCAGTCCCGGGGCAGGGGTGGGGGGGGGG